CAACTTGTCTTTAAGTTACAAAACTGGGTTGTACATATAATTTTTAAATGGATCATGGAATATTTCCTCATAGAATTTACTTTCACAGTTACAATGGAAGACTATTCAGGAACATTGAAAATAAACAAGTACAGTTCCTGTTTATAAATGAATTCATTGAATGGTATCTGGTCATCTCTAAAACCATTCCAAAGTTTGTAAAAACAAAATCATTGAACAATCTGAGCTTCAAAATAATATTCCAATTCCAAAACCATGTACACACTTATTCAAAAGAAGTTGTCAGTAATAGCACGCTGGTGCTGTGATCTGGAACTCTCTCCATCATCTGCTCAGGCTGTGTACATGTAGTAAAATTTTAAATCTATATACCATAAGTGCCATAAATGGATACTTTAACTTCTATTTTTCTCCCTGTTTTTTCTTTGACTGGCAATTGGCACCAGTGTATGAGCAGACATTTATTTCATGTGACAGGGTATATGTAATTCAAGGTCTTTTTCAGACAACTATTTTCATGTTCCAAAATGAACATACAAGATTAAAAAAAACTGTCACTATTCAGGTTCATTTAGAACTGCATTTCAAAGTAAAGAATGACAGTTCAATAATAATTTCATTTCACTACATTGCATTTCCTAATAAAAATGGATGAAAAGTATAACTTTTTGGTTAGTTGTAACTTGTACACCCAACACAAATGAACATCTTGACATTCATTACTGTTGCCTAAATGTATTGCATACATAAATAATGTAATATAACAAGTTTTAGCATGGTCTGTATATATTTCTTAACATGATGTAGTCACATATAAATGCAATGAGCACCAGAGTATAATTTTATTTAATTTATCATCATGTATATAAAGCTTCACAATAAGCAATTAACTGATGTATCTAATTATGAAAGACTGGTCATTGGAATGTGAAGTGGTCTTGAATTAAGTCTAGTAGGCTTGCATAAAAATTATATAATATATTAATTGACTCATTAAATAAAAAGTTAAGCACAGTTAACTAAATTACCTAACTATCAAGCAGAAGTCAATCAAATATGAAAGTGGTCATGTATTTACTGTTTTTAATAAAAATTCAAACACTTCCAAAATGACACTTGCACTTTTTTCAATTAGCTATATGAAAATTGCAACCAGCAGGATGTATCCCCATCCAAGCCCACTTTACAGGAGATTTTAATATTATTGGAGTAAGCGGAGTCAAAGCATGTAGAAATTAGCACATTCACTCTATCACTTGCTTATTTCACTTTATGCCTCTCAAGCAAGCTTATGAAAAATAATGCCAAGTTGCTATCATCAAGTTTGTGAGAGGTAATATTAAGGCAGATTTGCCTCATACAGTCACAATCAGTAGAACTGCCTAAAAATACATGATTAGTCATTATTAGAAATGTACATGCAGTTAATGAATTATCTAATGTACATGCAGGTAATGAATTATCTAATATACATGCAGGTAATGAATTATCTAATGTACATGCAGTTAATGAATTTATCTAAGTATGAAGGAAAGATCATGTCAACATCAGCAATGTCTCATAATAACAATGTCTGTAGGCAGGCACAAAAAGAAAACATGATAATCATATCAATATCCTTCATTAATTAAAAAAGTGATAAGCAGTTAACCAAATTACCTAAAAATGAAAATGAGTACATATGAAGGTGTGAAAGGTCAATTATTCACTGTCAATGGCTTGCACAAAAATACACCATGTTAATTGATTCCTCCATTACAAGTTTAGTATTTTTCACAATGATCCATGAAGCAAGATTCATGTGGGACATGGATATGAAAATAATATCAAATCACTATTATTCTTATTATTATTATTGTTGTTGTTGTTTTTGCTGTTATTATTATTACTGTTATTATTATTTTTATTATTATTATTGTTATTATTATTATTTCTAACAAGTCTCCTTAATAAAATCATTTGCTTTGAAAATAAATGCCATTTAATTAACAAAAAGCTGCAGTATGCTAACACCTATTTCCAAACATAACATTATATCTTGCATTTTAATTTAATACCTATTCTAAATATTTTTCTTTACATTATTGCTGAAATCTGAGTGATTATCTATAATATTCAATCCAAAATGAACTTTTAATAGTATTTTTTGACTGTCAGACAGGTAATATTTTCTACTGAATGCATACATGTCCCCCAAAGTTTGGAAAAATCTGGCCCTGGCTATGTTTTGTTTAAAAATCACAGAGCTCTGATACTGTGAGAACTTCAAATAAGTTACTGAATAAGGTTTTGGCTGTCCAGGCTGAGGTTACCTAAGGTCCAAAGTGTCTTACTATTTTATTTTTATTTTTAAGTCCCCAGCATTAGTACTATAAAGAGGGACCTGTACAGACAAGGTAACAGCACCTGTTACAAATACAAATAATCATAACTCAGCCAGTACAATTTAAAGAACCAAACATAAATACCAACCATATATATTAAATCCTAGTTCAGTCTTTGCTCCATGATAAATCCTTCAGTTTTGGAAAGACTATTCTGAAAGACTGGCAGCTTATGGTTTTGGAAAATAAATTGGATATTGACTCATTATAAACAGTCAGTTGAATCTGACCCTAACCAATCATTTAATTTCACACAAGGCACCTGCCTGACAGGTATACAACACATGTACAAAAGGCCACTTGTGGAGATGGCAACTTAAAAATCTAGTCATAGCATTGTCATTAATATAGAGTGTCACTCCAATACCTGTAAAACCCATAACAATGACTGCCAGACCTGGTCAAGGTCTGGCCGTCACAAAACAAATCTTCATGGTAAAGGATCACATTCTGACTATTGTGCAGATCCCATGTTAATACAAACAGAGCATATTCCCCATCAGTTCCTAAATACCCAAACTTTTGAGGGAGAAAAACAAGAAAACTTACATCCATATTAACCAAACACTTTAAGAATAGCTGACTGAAATAGAGAGGTTTAATTTCAAAGACTGGTGCATTTGTGTATGTTTTGAGTGTCTGTGTTTTGGATTTAAAAAATGTTTCAGTCATATCACTAAGTTGTCTGTAGTGAGAGAGTTTATAGTAATGTCTAGCACTGGGGCATCATGTTGCAGACATGTACAGTAAAACCTATCTTGAGAGACCACTGCTATGAGAGACCATAATCTCCATGCAGAGATTTATTTATTATATAGTGTGATGCACTGTTATGAGAGACCACCTGTCTTAAGAGACCATTATGTTTTGGCAGAAGGGGTGATCTATCAAGACAGGTTCTTCTGTAGTATAATGTCCCACCCAGTCTCATTATCTTCACTCCAGCCAACCAGACCTAACACTAACCTCTTAATGTTTAGCACCTAGCGAGGTAGCTGTAAATACTATTTTTATAAATCTTTGGTATGACTCTACTGGGGTTTGAACCTATGACCTCCCGCATCCAGGCAGATGCTCTAACCACAAAGACCACTGGAGCAATAGTCTGATGACCTTTTGTCCTTCATGGAACAGAAGTAGACTCCTGGAACTGTCATTAACTTTTCTAACGTTGACATTATCATTTATCCCAAAAGTTGTATCATATTAATATAATGCAGAGTGTTGTAAACTAATCTCTTACTGTATGACCATTCAAGGGACTGACAGTGTCTACCATGTTGCTTCTGAGGTAACCTTGCCCTGAGTTACATTATACACAATACAGGGGTCCTTCACTATAGCAATGTTGATGGAATCTATATGGTTTTCCATGTTGCATTTGAGGTAGCCTTACACTAAGATACTTTATACACACTACAGTGGTCCCTCACTATAACACTTCAAGAGATCCATTAAGTGTACAACGATGTAGGTGGATTTGTCTTACACTGAGTTACATCAAACACAGTACATGCATAGTGGTCCCTCACTATAACATTTTAAGGGATCCAAAAAGTGAATAATGTTGAAGGTGAAGCTGTCATTTCTCGATACTATATCAAAACACATGACAGTGGTCCCTCAATATAACTCTTAAGAGTACCATAAAGTGTGCCATATTGAAGGTGAGGCTGACTTACAATCACAGTACAGTGGTCACTCACTTTAATACTTCAAAGGATCCATCAGATGTATAATATTGTAGATAAGGTTGCTTTACACTGAGGTACATCACAATACAGTGGTCACTCACTATGACACCTCAAGGGATCCATTAATGTATAATGTTGTATGTGAGGCTGTCTTAAACTGAGGTACATCACATAGAGTACAGTGGTCCTTTGCTATTACACTATAAGGGATCCACTAAGTATACAATGTTGTAGGTGAACCTGCCTTACTATGAGATACATCACAGTACAGTAGTCTCTTACTATAACACTTCAAGGAATTCATTAGATGTAAAATGTTGAAGTGACACTTGAATTATTACATAATGTAATTTTATGAATAAATTTAGATAAACTTTTATTAATTTTTATTATGTAAAACATATTATTTATATTATTTATAATTATGTATAATGTATTATTTATATTACTTATAATACAGTTTATCTTAATCGGGTGTGTAAAAAAATGTCAACTATGTTAATTTACAAAGTGTAATGTAATTTACATAATGTAATGGAATCCATCACTAAATCTACCTTATAAAAGTGACAGATCATGCAAAGTCAGATATTAGTGAGGGAAAATTGCATATGTCAGGGTTCTGAGCCAGGTCTGAATTTAATGCCAAGATATTTATTCTGAATTTGATACTGTGTGTGATTTGTGTGATTTAGATTTTTAACATAGCTTTAACATTTTTTCAGTCATGTCACTATGATGTCTGCAGTGTGACAGTTCATAGTGATGTCTACCACTGGAGCATCTTCCTGCAGATGCTAAGGCATGCTGTCTCACCAAGTTAAATTATCTAACACCAGACTGACCTGTCTTATCACTAACCTCTTAATGCTGAGCACCAAGCAAGACAGCTGTTATTACCATTTTTAAAAAGTCTTTGGTATGACTCAGCTGGGGTTTGAACCCATGACCTCCTGCATCCGAGGCGGACACTTTAACCACTAGGCCACGGATCGATGAATTGATACTAAGATATAGTTTGAATTTGATACAAAGATATGGTTTGAATTTAAAGCCAGTATATAGCCTGAATTAATAATACAATGTAGTCTGAATTTAATGCTAAGATATAGTCTGAACTTCATGCAAAGATATATTTTGAATTTAATGCTAAACTAGTCTAATTTAATGATATTTAATGCTCCAATATAGCATGACTTTAATTACTGCTACAAGTCTGAATTTAATGTATAAAGTCTAAATTTAATGCCAATAAGATTTATAATTTTTATGCTAAAAAATATTTTTAATGCCTTGATACAGTCTGAAATTAATTCTACAACAGGGTCTGATTTAATTATAACGTATAGTCTGAATTCAATGCTAATGTAATGTGTGAAATTCATGCTAAGATATAATCTGAATTTAATTCTAATGTATAGTCTGAATTCAATGCTAATATAATGTGTGAAATTCATGCTAAGATATAATCTGAAATTAATTCTAACTATAATCTGAATTCAATGCTAATATAATGTGTGAAATTCATGCTAAGATATAATCTGAATTTAATTCTAGAATAAAGCATGAATTTACTACTGCAATACAATCTGAATTTAATGCCAGTGTTTCACTTAAGAGCCACTGTCCCACATTCTCCAAACTTGGGGGTGCATACAATTTTAAAGGGACAAATGAAGTAAAAAGCAGGAGATAGTGTTAGTAGTACTAAAAAATGGGGAAAAAAATCATTTTACTTTAACAGATTTGCCAAATAACTTTGTCATCTAAACTGTACTATTCATTTTCCTCCCTGAACAATTACAATTAATAATAAACTTGTTCTCAAGTGCTCTATAAGCATTATTAACATGTTTGAATATCTTGTCCACCTGAAATGTGCTTCAAAACAGAATTTTCCATTCCAGGTCATGCCCACATTTAACATTTGTGTTCACTCAATCTACCATTAGTTCAACCTTGAAATAAATTAAATCATTGTTGCTGTAGTCATGCTTCCAGCATTGAAAATTATGCTAAACAGGCAGCCATCAAAACTTTTACATTGCAAATTAGAAGAATAGCACAAACCTCAGTGGCATAGCAACCACTCAACCAAGCAACCCCTAAAAAACAGCAATTAGGTGAAGAGAGGGGGCAAATTTCATGTCAGTTGTTTTAAAGACAGGACTCTCATAATTATTTTCATAGTTTTATGAAGGGGGGTCTTGCTATGCTATTGCTAAACCTTGGATGTTTTGATTGTGAAATGCTATTTTACAAAGGCTGCCATTTTACAGCTTTTATCACCTTTTACAACTTGGAACACATCCATAAAAAAATAGGTGTATCTTTTTTACTAGCTACAAAAGTGCACTGGGAACACATGGTTCAAGCTTTGGGGGACACAGGACAAAAAAATAAGCAAAACCATAATTCCACACCTAATGTACAACACTGAATCCTAAGATGTAGTCTGATGTAATGCTATCACATAGTCTGAATGTTAAGATACAGTCTCAATTTAATGCTACAATATAGTTTGAATTTCATGCTAAGATTTAGTGTGTATTTCATGACAAGGTAAAGTCGGAATTACATGCTTAAATAATTGGGACCTGCCCACAAATGATCTTGAAAGAAATACTAGCTAGTATAAGTGGAAAATGATCCTGCTTCAAAAGTGAAAATTGTCAGATACTGATTATGAGATATGTGAATTATGAGATATGTGTATTATGAGATATATGTATTATGAGATATGTGCATTATGAGATATGTATAGTATGATATATGTATATTATGAGATATGTTTATTATGAGATGTGTATTATGTGTATTATGAGATATGTGTATTATGAGATATGTGTATTATGAGATACGCATAATGTCAAAACAGCTAACAATGGCAAAATGGTGAGCACTTTGCTAATGTAGATATACCCTCCATCTGCTGAATTCCCACACCAACCCATATGATGGAGAGGAATCTATAGTTAAGAAGGAACCATATATACTTGCTTATAAGTCAAGTACAAATGCAAATTGACAATAACTCTAACAAGCTTTAGAGGAGCACAAAAGATTTGACATGCACATTGGTCAATGATGACCATGACCATAATGATGACCATGACCATGTGTTCCAATAAATGAATTAAAAAAACCAAACTCTGTGCTGTGAGTTGTAGAATTGGAAATCAGCAAATGACAGGATGTACAAGTTCAATGGTGTCCACTGAAGAGGCAGGGTTTCTGCCAATTCTGCGTATAATCTAGGGTGAGATTAAAGCCGACAAAATAAATATAGCCAGGAACATCTCAATTGGACATCACTCATGTCCATGGTACAAATAATTAAGTTTATTACAGTATTAGAAATCACAGCCCATTGCTATTGTAATACAGCTTTTAAGCATCATCACAAAAAAGTATAAAACAAGTTAGCACATACAATGATACAGATCTTGAGACAAGAACACAGAAATAAAACAAGATGGAAAAAGAAAAAGGACAATGGCTACTATCAGAGCATTTTCTGTGGCACCATGAGGAGTCAGACCTGCCTTCACATGCAATAATTACTATGCAAACCCATTGTCCTGAGCTACAGGTGTATGATATCTGTATATAGACCATGTGTCAGCAGTCATTCATTTTGTTGACCAGTGCAAATAGTGGACACAAATTAAATTTTTGAAATTTACAGCTGAAACAATAACCATGTATGTCAAATTTATTAATTGAACCAGACATAATTACTGTAGATGCTGGACTATTGTTAGAATGCAACTATACCAATTTATAAAACTGAGCCACAAATTAAAAAAGATAAAACTATATCAATGCAGTGTGTTACAGAACTAGCTCTTTTCCTGCTAAAAAGACATTTTTATGCTGCCTCCATAATAAAACACCTGTAGAATTAGAAGCAGCTTAAATTTGTTATGTTTTTTAACTTTAATTTTTCAAATGAAGTATAATTTAACTTAAAAAATATCCCCAATAAGCTTTAATTACTTGGTAATTTATCTGACAGAAGGTATGGAATATGCAAATAACAGGAATCTAATCGATTTTCATTCTGTGCTCTGCCCATATTACCCTGTACTACTGGTGGATTTCAAAGTGATAAGTATTCACCTGATATTTGTTCTCCTGTTACCATGGCTGCACTAAATTGCCAATAAACCTACTCAAGTTTTATCCAAACTTCCATAAAGTTACAATCAAATGTCTATATAACAATGTGTTCACTAATGTTATTACCATTAAATAGTTATTTCAAGAAGTCACAATAATAAATGTCTAAAATGTATACCTAAAATATAAATATTGTAAAGCTTTACTTACCAGTCACAGACAGGATTTTTCTCCTTCCACTTCCAAGCAAGAGTTCTTTATTCAGTGCTAAAATTAACCAGTATCACTTAATGTCTGTTGATATCATCCAAATAGCTCAATCTAGTTTTCTGCAAATAAGACAGGTGAAAATCTCCCAATTTACTAGACTGACAAGCAATGGCTAAAATTTAAACTAAAATAGACTGGGTTAATATTCTTGGTAAACCAAGAGATCATCCCATTCATCATTCATCCTACAAGCTGGCAATGGTATGAAGTGTGGGGCTTGTATTACTTAAACTCCTATACTCATGGATACCGTATACAGCCTAATAGTAAACAGAAATCAGTTTTAATTAAAAGGTTAATTGATCAATTCATCAGGAATGGTTAACAATTGATTTTAATCTGTGAAAGATATTTTCTACATTTTCAATGGAAAATGTAATTTTGTACATACTTGATAACATTTTTCTGTGTCCGTAAATTACAGAATTATTAATGTCTATAAAGTTCTATCAGAAAAACTCTGGCTGTCTTGTATTGGTGATCAACATGCAACAGCAGTGCATGTTGGAAATACTCCATCACTGATCTAATAGACTTGATGGATTGCAATGCTATGAAAACACTCAAGCTAGAGGTGTAGAAATAAAATATTACAATGAAAAAAAAACATGAAATCATTTATACTCAAATATTCCAAACCATAATCTAATACTTGGTCATTTTGGCCTTTCTGTCCAATCTTCAATTATTCTTTATTATTCATGACACTGGTTCATAAGCTCCATCTCATGGGAGTCACAAATTTAGGAACCTGTTCTATAAATGTGGCTAACTCATACTGAGGTATGTTTTCAACAAGTTTGTCATAAAAATGCAAACAAACACAAAAATAGAGTACCTTAATTCATGTAAATCTTTATACCCTTATGTTTTGGTACCTAGCTAAACTATATGAATCATAAATGTTTTTTTAATATTTTTTTTATATATCTACAAGTTTGTTTCATTACTGAAGCTTCAACTTTTTCCAACAAAAAGTCTAAAATCATAAACTGAAAGAGTTACAATTCAAGTCTGTGTGAATACTGTACATAAACAAGAAATAAAATGTTTCATACACAACGTCTGTAAAAAAGACATTTCTATAAAACAAAGTTGAGGGGGGGTAAACAAACTTAAATTATGTAATACTTTTCTGAGCAGAAAATTCCATGACTATATGATGAGCATTTTTCTTCCAAAAGACAATGTCCAACCAATTAACACCTTGCCCATGTACACTGTCCTTCATTCATTATAGTGTGTAGCCTAAACTAGTGGAACATCAGTGTGGGGCAGGAGTAAGGAATTTTTCGATTGCAACAGGTATTAAATTTTTATCCTCCACAAAAAAAAAAACATAGTATCAAAAAGAGAGGTGGAAAATGTGGCTTTCATCACATCCTCCAGACACTAATGAGCTAGACAGGCCCAAGGTGTAGCAACATGCACTATTCTTGTTTGTGAGGAAATTAATCCTCATGTAGACAAAATGTTGACATTGAACATGGGTGATAAAACTAGAGAAGGGAGATCTTAAACTCAATGCCAGTATCCACCTTTATGATAGAGAGGACCCAGCCATTGACAGTTATGCCAGATCAAGCTTCTGAAAATAGGTCT